GCCTTAGGGCAGCACAAACACTGTAGCTATTTATAAAACTACAGTAGTAAAACAGGAGTGAGTTTCTCCTTTAAATTAGAGACATTTTAGAAAACAATATAAAGTCTGTATACTATTGAATCATTTGCTGTTTTGCTACCACTGGGAGATTTTTAATAATGGGACAGCGAAACCCATTGTTTTCTACCACTGTTAAAACTGAGGGGAAATCATATGATACATTATCATTTGGCCTCTGATAAACTAAAAATGATTACTGTTAATATTTAATGAAATTGGGCTGCCATAGTGAATGCCATTTTTCATTTTTAAACATAACGAAATCATATCCTGTGTACCAAATAAAGATTCATAATGCCAGAGTATAGATTTTAATTTTGTTCTAGTCATATTTTAAAATTTTAATTAAGGAGAATGGAGAAAAAGAGGTTAGAATGGATGAAACCCTTATAATGGTTTTGGAATCTCATTGCTAGAATACTAACTCCAAACAGTGACATAGATCTAGCTGGAGATGAGTTCTGTTAAATAGAAAATCAGAAAAATGAAAAAGTGCAGGCACTTTCATGTAGTTAGATCATTTCCAATTTGATTTCTCTTTTATTTTCTAGCTTTTAATTGCACTGATGTATAGGAAGGATACAAATATAGAAACAGATTTTAAAAAGTGGGAATTTGGGGTTGGAGAATACCCTCTCAAGTTAAACAATGAAGAAGAGATAGTTTCTTTTCAGGTGATGATTACACTTCTTAGTTTGGAGTTCCATCACAAGTGCAATTTGATTTATCCCTATAGTGACTTTAGTTATTTTTATATCTGTTTCTTGCTATGTACAAACATTTATTTAAGGAGATACCACCATTATGATTGATCTATCTCCATGTAACACACTTGTCTTCTCCGGGAAGAAAAGATCTAAATAGATGCTCAAAATGATATGTGCTAAAGGAGCCAACTGTAGACTAAGCCCAACTAGTGGCACTAAAATGTCTCTAGCAGATTTTAAGGAGTGTCATTACATGGAAAGATATTTTCATTTTTCCAGTGTGCTGAATGGGTAGTAGGCTGAGGGGTTTCTAAAGGCAGAGATGTTTCAGTGGCTAGATATAAGCTAAAAATTTCAGACTGGAAAGGGTTATATCCGAATGGTGTTAGCAAAGAGAAAGTACACTTGGTTTCAGTTTAGTTTGAGTATAAGAGTGCAATATGAGAGATGTTTTTACATGACTTTAAAAATCTGTCTTAGTCACTTTCATTGCTTACCAGGGGCAATGACAGATTTGTAATGGAGACGGTTTTAAAGAAAGTAAGTTTTATGGGGTTTGTTGTCATTATATTAAATTATATCAAACTTGAAAGAGCAGAAATAATTGTAGAACTCTCAAAATTTTAGAAAAGTAAAGCAAGTGTAAGGACTACATAAGCTGGATTTATTTCACTTCTCAATGCCTACATGGAAGTGTTCACTATATAATTTTGAATAAAAGTAATGAATAAAAGAGTAAATGGATGTATAGTCACAAGAAGAAAGCTAGTTGAGGAAATTGTCACATTGAAATAGTGCTCCCTATTTTGGAAGTAAATGAAGTACTTACATGTGGAAAGAAAAATAATTCACTGGATATTTCTTAAGTACAAGCATTAGCAGGGAAAAAAGCAACTTATTCATTCTACACGTGCTTATTTAAATTCCCATTATGGTATTTAAAACCATACTTTAATAAAACATTTTTTAAAATGCTGGCTGCCAAGATTAGCTTGTATAGTTAAGCGTGATTGAGGTTGAGAGTATCCAGAAACTGAGCTGAATAGGTCAGGAAGACATTTCTACTGGCCGGTAGGAAGTTGTGTAGTGGCAAAGGAAGGCTAAGGAAATGTAGCCTCCTCCCTCTGGCTTTGTGACTAATGTAATATTTTAGGAAATAAGCTTGGAAGCCTGTTTTCCAAGGCCTTTTCTTTTTTATGTATGTTTTTCATGCAGCTCAGGCTACTTTACCAAACTTCTATGTAGCTTGAGTAATGTTGATTTATTTCTCCCAGGGAAAAAAAAGGAAGTCTATGATCAAATCATTGGTAGAGTCAGGGTTTTTTAAAGCCCTCTTATCTAAATAAGTTTACCAAAACTTTATCTCGGGGTGTGTAAGGTGGGCAACAAATGGTCAGTTCATGACTATAATACAAAACACATAAGAAAGAAAGACTCGTGCTGTAAGTTTAAATGCAAGTTCAGTTTCTTACCTTGGTTTCTCCATAATAACAAGAATATAATACTTTATTTCCTCTACGATCATTTGTTTTAGTGTTTCCCCTATGAATAGCACAAAATACCTAATACCAAAATTTAAAGGAGAAATTTAACTTGGCTTATAGTTTTAGGGCATTCAGTCCATGGTTGACTGACTCTCAGGCCAAAACATCATGGCAGATGGGCATGCAGCGCAAAGATGCTTAGTTTATGGTTGCCTAGCAACAGAGCAGCCAAACAGCATCAGAGTGAAAAGGAACTGGAGACCATGTATAGTACCCAAGATCAGGGCTCCAAATTCCACCCCGTGGCATTCAGAATTATACTTTATTCTACTCTAGGGTTTCCTTAATTCAATCAAGTTGACATGTCAGAGTTGACAGCCACACCAAAGAATAATCAACACTACTCAACAGAAGTTGTATTATAAGACTAAAGTGCATATTACTAGGATCTTTTTATTATATGTGGAAATAGTGTTCTTAATTTACTTGTCTTAGGAAAACACCCTTGGCTTATAAAATTGAAATAATTTATCTTTCCTTTTGTTGGGAATAGTTCCAAATTGGTCCATTCAAAGTGCTGATTTTAAATTGTGCAAAACACCATGTTTCCCAAATAGCAGATTGCATCTCTTCTTGCTTCCTCCTCTCAGCACTGGCAGTCTGCTTTGCTCCTAATAAGTCTGCAGAGCCACAAGCTGTCTTGCTTGAAGTATCCTAATTTGCCACGTGGAATCTATGTCAATGTAGCAGTGCTAGGTAAGAATGAATGCTCAGTAGGTTTTGTGGAGATTCTGGAGATGTAAGGTAGTAACAGAATTTATTTGTTAAAGGTTAGGTTACATGGTTAACATGGGTGGATAATGGGCATCAGTCTTTCATTAGAACAAGAGTTTGATAGTACATTCTTCTGCAAAGTATGCATCTGGGAGTTTACAGTTGTATGTGGCTGTGCAACATAAATATGGATTATAATCTTAAAATAAAATAAATCAGGTTAGGTTTGCTTACTGTAGCCTATGCCATCGATGATCATTCCTTCCTTCTTCCGGAAGGGTCGTGCTTCATGTTTCTTGTATTTTGAGATTGACGAGTGCCTGCTCTGTGGAACCACAGAGAATACACATCTTATGTGCCGCATTCCCTCAATGCTGTGGCCTGTCCTGACAGGAGTGTAAACAATGAAGCAGCACAGCGAATTTGTAACAGTGTAAACTCCTGCCTTGGTTACTTGTTCAGATCACAATTTGTAACATTAACACAATTTTAGTCCTCTTACAGGTGTTAGGTACCAGTCTTCTGGGATCTTAGCAATGGTTTAATGAAGAATAGGAACTTTATTAATAGGAAGAAAATAAAATCTTTAATTTGAAAATTATGATTGAATCTGATTTTAATCTATGAAGGTTGTTAACTGAGTTTATATTTAAATTAGAATTTCTTACAAGACTCTAAACTAACCATTTGCAAAGATGCACTTTCACTGCTATCTTTCTCGCTCTTGTTTACGAAGACTATTAAAGAAAATGCTTTACTGCTGCCAGCCAGCCACTGAGCAGTGACTTTTCCTTGTGTAGAAGAAATCAAGGAGCACATTTGCCTAAAATCTCATGATGCAATTTGTACCTTATTGAAACTGAACTTATACAACCTGCCACTGTGTGTTTTGCAACAGTTTTTAGGATTTCACATATATTTTTGAATATACCAAATGTATATAAAATATATTAATGGTTTCCTAGATGTAGTTGTAAAAAACCTTTCAACTAGGAAAAATATTTTTATTATGCCAGTTTTAGTAGTTGCAAAAATAATTACTAGAGATGCAGGATATCTTTATTTCAAAGTTGTATTATTGTTCTTCTATTCTGTGCTCTATAAAAGAACAGGCAAGAATTTTCAAAACAGTTGTGAGACATTTGAGAAAGGTATTAGCAGTTCAGGTTGGAGCTTTTGTAGGCCAAATGCCATCTGTTTCTGAAAATTGTAGCATTTTATTATTAAAGACGCCTGAAGTGGGAAGCGGTATACTTCCGTGGGGAGGACAGATTTCTGTCCATCTGTGCCCGCACTACCTCATGTCACTTGCACTTTAGATCTGTGCAGCTCGAGGCAGAGGAGAAGTCGCCTGTCGCCCTTCTGTCTCCCCGGTAAGCTTCACCGCCTCTACACCGCCCAGGGCCTGCGTGCTGCTGGGCCTGGGACCTGGGCCTTCCCTGACTCCTCCAGAAAACGCTAACTTTAAACACTCACAGGCATCAGCTGCAGAGCTCCCTCTGTGCTGTGGCTTGGGTGGGCGTTGGGGTCTTTATTTAAGTTGCTCTCTGTCAGTATTGAGAAAGTGTGAAATTCTCTGATGACTTTCCTTCCTTTTTTTCAGTTCTTTGGTAGGTCTCTCAGTGTTGAAAATGGATGGAAAATTCTGTTTTTATTGCTGAAAACAAGAGTACAGAGGGTTAAGGCTGGGATCGTGTGCTTTGAATAAGACATGTTTACTTTATTTTAGTTTTGGGGACAGGGTCAGTGCTTCAGTGTGCTGTGTAGCCCAGACTGGTCCTGAAGTGGCGAGGATCCTCCTGCCTCACCTTTCCAAGGACTATGATTCTAGGCATCGGCCACCACACCCAAGTAGCATGTTTATTTTTAATCCCTTATTGCTTTTGTGGTACTTTGTTATGCAAAAACAAACAGCCAGAGAAATTTATGCTTGAGATGTTTAAATGCAGACATTTTTTTCCCTTTTTTCCAAAAGTGCTTATCAAATTGTCGTGGAGGAGCTGCAGCCACACAGAGCCAAGCGGGAAGCGGGGACCATGGAATGTTACCAGGTGCCTGTCACCTACCAGAGCTCCGTGAGCGGGGGCTCCCCCTATTACTTCGCTGCCGAGCTGCCCCCCGGCAATCTCCCCGAGCCTGCCCCCTTCACCGTGGGTGACAACAGGACCTATAAAGGCTTCTGGAACCCGCCCTTGGCTCCTCGCAAGGGTTACAACATCTACTTCCAGGCCATGAGCAGCGTGGAGAAGGTGAGCATCCCCAACCCCTGCTGCTTCTGCTTCTGGGCTCTGAGCAAAAACCAGAGCTGCAAAGGCCACGGAGGGTAAACAAAGAAGCAAAGGAGACAAGGATGCCCGTGCAGAGAGAGAGGGCTGAGTCTGCTTGAGCCGCTTTGGGTCTGGCAGTTCCGTGGCTCAGGCCCCCAGTTTCCTAGCAGCTGCTGTCCCTGGGCCTTCCGCAGCAAAGCCCCAGAGGCCGGGCTGCACCCCATCCAAGGGGTCCCAGGCGGTGCTTTCCCTCCCTCGGTCCCCAGGGGCTGCTTCAAAAGATTGCACTGACTACACAACGAACAGAATGTGCATTCCATAGCAGGCTAATACAGGCTTCTAGACCTTTCAGGGGGCACCTGCCAAACAATAACCAACAGGTAACAAGCCCATTGTTGGGAAGTAGCTGCCCCCTGCGGCCCAGCTGTCAGCACCTGAAGGCAAGGCTGCCTGCTGACCTGCTGTCCACGGGAGACACAGCGTTTTCCCAACACCCATACTGACCCCAGGTGAAAACCCAAGAAGGAGGCTCCAAGGGACCTTAGAAATGACCAGTGAATCAGAATCTGTGTGAGGGGAAACAGCCTGGCCTGTTCAGTCTCATGCTACTCTCCCTTTGAAAGACTTTCCTAAAACTTATTTATTATTTTTTAATTTATATATATATATAAATTTATATATATATATAAATTGTTGGCAGAGAGGAATGGAAAAAAATATATAGAGAATAGAAACTTCCACAGGTTAGCATTCAGTTGAACCCTGGCATGTTTGGTGGACCTACAGCTGTTAAGACAATTTTGGGTTTATTGTTGTTGTTGTTGTTGTTGTTTTATAAAATGGGGTCCCCAAGGTGGGCACCTGGGAGTTGATGTGAAATTTGTGGTAGCCAGTTACATCTGCCGTGTTATATCTTGGAACTGTTTGATTGGAAGACATTATCCATTTGCGATGCTGCACAGGGCCTGAGAACTTGCGGGCTGAGGACAAAAGCTTTACTTGGTGGCTGGCCTGCGCCATATAGCAAGGAAAATTTCCATAGCATCTTCCAGATGTGCTGCGAAGCCAGGAGCTGTTGCTAGGTGAAGGCGCTGTTCTCTTCTTGTTGTCTCCTATGTAACTGAAGTCTTTGGAGACAAACCTCTAGCCTCCTTTCTTACCACCCATCATTCCCAAGAGCTGGGCTGCTCCAAAGGAGAAGGCAGGGGGCGGGGGGGAGGGGGGGTGCTCATTAATCCATTGTGGAGACAAGGTACCACAGAGGTGGGAAAGCCTGGTTCTGCCTTTGTGTTTTAATCTCTAGAGAAATAGAAAGTTCCAGATTAACTCTTGTTCCATGGAGGAGAGTAAGAGGGAGATGTTAAGGTCTGTTATGTCAGGAAAACTTTCTGTGGCACTGTTAAAAGGCTTCATGATACATTTTTCTCTTCTCATGAATCTACACTTAATACTTAGAGTAGCATCAGTATTTTTCACAAATTCCTTGGCAAAAAGAATTTTAAAGCTGGCCTGGCTCCCACCCGCAGAGCCTGGTAATCCCTTCTCAAAGTCAATAGAGATTGCTTTCAGGAAATCAGAATCGCTTTGGACCTTTATGAGAATGTGAACATCTCTCTTGCAGCTTCGTATGGAGGTCACAATTAAGTAACAGAGATGTACAAATGATCTTTTAACTTACTGTTCATCCTTCAGTACTTTATTTTGTTTAATTTGAAAACAAATGCTTAAGGGAAAATTATGAGTTATTTGGCTTTACCAACATATAGCTCTCTTCATGATGGAGTTGTAAATGCTTCTTGAAAACAGATAGCTTCTGTTTTGGAAGAACCCACTGTTTGTGTGTGAGAACCAATGGGCAAATGTAGAAAGGGCTGAGAGAACAAAGCAAGAGATAGACAGATCAAGGATTGCATAAAATACAGTTTATTAGAGATTTATGGACAGAAGTATGGCTGTGTGGAAACAACACAGGAAGACCCCATACCTCAGGGGAAGAGGAATTGGTTCTTGTGCTACTAGATAAATATGGCCTATCCTCAACCAGAATGTATTTGGCTTCTTGAAAACTTTTTACCTGTCCAGCGTGGGTTAGAAAACAGTGCAGATATAGAGGCCAGACTCTCTCAATGACTTTGTATGCCCAGGAGAGTTTAGGACATGAGCCATGGACACATGGTAGACAAAATGGCAGCTACAACCAAGATGGCCGTAGTCAGTCAAGCTGGGGCCCTGCAGCCTCCATTAAGTTCACAGGCTTTGATGCCTCTTCTAACCTGTTGTGTTTCCAAAGGCAAATGCTGACTAAATGAAGTCCTTAAGAAGCTAAGTGTGGGCCCAGACTATGTTTTGTTTTCTACTTTCCACACAGTGTTAAAAAATAATAGTTATTCTTGTCACTTCTTCCTTGTGCTTCTAATTTCTCAAACCTGTTCTTGTAGCAAGAGGTAAAGAGTTATCCACATTGAGAAACGTTTAACTCTTCGCAGCTAAATTAAAAGGGAAGAACACATAAAATATACCACGACTGTGACACAATGTTTGGATGATGTCTCTAACACTAACATTGACCTCTGTAGTCATCTAAGATCCCAGCAGGGGAATATAAAAGTTTACTTTCAGTATGAGTCTATAGCTCTCAGGTAAAATTTATATTTATATTAGGTTCGGATTTATATTAGCTGCATTCTCTCTGATGGTTTAAGAAGCAAACAGAATTCTATACTACTTGTCCTTGACAAAGTGAAAATAGATACCTACATCTTCAGAAAATACTGGATATTTTCCTGAAAGTTTTTGTTTTAGATTTAAAAAAAAAAAATTCTGAGTAGGCAAATCAGAAAACAAAACAAAAAAATTTCTTAATAGCATAATTCTCTAACAAAAACACTTACTAGTATCAGAATTGTGTGTAACTGCCATTGTGCGATAGGGGCCCGTCCACATTCTGAACTCTAGGGAACATGCAGGGTCCGTAAGATGATCAACAGACGAAGCCAGCACTCTCCACAGTGTAACCCTGTGTAACCCCATTTTATGACCCCAGAATGATCTTCATAATAATTGTAGTTTGTGAAACAGAAACGATAACTATACGCTGACTATTTTTCTTTCATTTTTTACTCCATCAGGAAACTAAAACCCAGTGTGTACGAATTGCTACAAAAGGTAAGTGACTTACTTTAAAAAAACACAAAACCTCCATTTATCCCTTCTCTAAAATGAAAGGGCTTTGTTCTCTCCCTTGAGCTAATTAAATGTGGCATTTCTATCACAGAATATTTGTAGTAGCGCTTAGCAAACCTTAGAGACAAGTTCTCTGACTCACGTGAGCATATTTAATGCATATAATGGGGTCTTCCATCCCATCCTTTAAACTTGACTGAAGGAATCTTATTAGAGGGTAAGAAAGATTTAGAAAGGGCTTATTTCTGCTATCTATTTCCTGAGAGGTCTTGTGTTGCTGATCAATTAGTGTGTTAAGAAAAACTAAGCAGTAGCAGCTCTAAGTAACAAGGTCCTTGTTTAAAAACCTGTTACTGTCTGCCATAGACAATCAAATGCAGAAAGAACGAAACTGGTTTTGCCTGACTCCATGTCTCCCCTACAAGTACCTTCCAGTAGAACACAGTTTGCTTTTCTTTTTTCGTTCATTAATGCCAGGAAATCATATCTGTGATGGGTAATAACCGGGGCAGTTCCCACTGACCATGCCTTGTATGACTTGACTGCCCAGTTAATTTGAGAAGAGACATTAGCAACTTTGAATGAGTAGTGAGAGTTTGGAGTGCTGGGAAATCTTCCACATTCCTGTTTATAGTCCATCAGGTGAGAGTTATTTGATTGTTCCCACAAAGGAGAGATCACTCCTTTGTATGTTCTAGCAAGAAAAATCAAAACAGGCTGTCTACAAGCAGGCAGAGCCTCCTCAGAGCGCTGGTCCTCAGGGTGGTTTGTTGGCTTTATTAGTATAGACTCACACTTATGAGCAGTAGTTGATTCATTGGGGATGAAAATAAATAGCCACGTTCTGTGTGTGCTGGCATCTTTCCTTTCATCATTGCCCTCCATCTATTACTCACTCTTCTCAATTAGCATTTGTACTTCACTCTTGATTTGTAAAGGCCAGGAAGACGCTTTCCCTGCCCAGGAGAATAATATGGAAGCTTCACAGAAGAAAAACAAATACTTGCTTGATTCCAGTGTTAAGCTTTATGATAGCTTTAAAAAATCAAGCAAGACTTTGTGAAAGAAAGAACATGCATACAGAGGCATGTAATGTATGAATATTTATTTAATTTTAAAAATTTAGACATAGATCAGGAGTTAAATTTGAAGTTTCTGATGCTAATGACAGAAAGCATTGAGGTGTGTATCAACTCGACTTTCCAGATTTCAAGCAGAGCCAGATAGGCAAAATGGTCTCACATCAGCCCCTGAGAAAGTTCTTTAGTTATGCTAATGCTGCATTTTTATAAATGAGAAAGGAAAGCTGTATGTGATTTTTTAACTTTTTAAATTTTCACGCTTATATGCTTTTGCCTCAATCCTCTGTGTCATTTTTGTCCTTCTCTGAATACAAATATAGCATGCTGGTAAATACATGATATTTAGACTTCAGAAAGGTAAGAGATTACGGAAATGAATTTTACCATGAGGAATAAAACACTGGCCAGAAACTCAGGGTGGTAAGAAAGAATCCATTTATTTCTTCTCGAACTGTTGACTTAGCTCTGTTGTATATCTTGATGTCAGGTTAACAAGGTGCTGAGGTAAGAGAAAGGAATTTGGCCATAGACTACCTAGATGCCAGTCGTGATTGTTGCTATTCAGTAGTTCTTTAGCCTTGGGCACATTGTGAAAGCTCTCATTCTGAAATAAGAATAGTAGAGCACTCATCTCATTTTTATGGTAAGGATTAAACTGCATAGCAGTCTTGTCTTATCTAAACTCCTTCATTCCGTCTGTGGTCAATCGTGACCTGAAAATATGGGATGGGAATTCACAGGAATAAACAGCTTCTAAGTTTTAAGTTACATGCCATTCTGCAGAGCATGATAAAATCTCTCACACCGTCTTGTTGCATCTTGCCTGGGACCTGAATCATCCCTTTGTCTGCGGAGCCATGGTGAATACACTGCCCACACATTAGCCACTCCGTAACCACTGTAGTTATCAGATCAACTGCAGGGATGACGGTCCCAAATTAAAAGAATGATAAGGCTGGGAATGTTATTACAATGTGGTGTTTTAATTGATTTATTTTATTATAATTGTTATTAAGTCCTTAGTGCACCTAATTTATAAATTAAATTTTATCATGGGTATGTATAAGAAAAAGCATGGCACTGTATGCATAGAAGTTGAAGCTATCTGTGCTTTCATCTACTCAGGGTTTTGAAACGCAGTTCCCAGAGCTGAGGAAATCTGCTGAATGTGTCTAGCATGATGGAAATGTCATGCGCATGTTGTCTGTGGCCCTTCCTTCGTGTTTATAATAGCTTTCTCTTACTTCAGAACATAGGTGATGCTATGCAGTTATGAAGAAATATGTATAAGTACTGAAGTAAAATAAAAGCTAAAATACTAAAACTAAATACAACACTAAAGAAATACGAGATACTAAAGTAAATAGAAATTTTTTGGAGGACAAGCTAAGATTTGTTTTTTTTAATGTTTAGACCTTGCAATAATATTTTTCCAGTCCTAAACACTAACATTTTTCTACCTGTGAAAAACCACATTTCTTAAGTAATATCAGCTTGTTTTCTGCAAACAATGTTTTAAGCTGACACTCTGTAAGTTGGGCTATTTTAAACTTATTATTCATATTTTAAGCTTAAAATGAGAACTGATTCAGGTAGGTCTCATGCTATAATTTAATAACCTGGTACCGGGGTGCGCCCAAGGAACATTTGCAAGCTGAGAGTCCAATTAACTGTAACAAATATTTGTTAAATCAGTAATTGAATTTAAACTAAATGCAAGGTAGACACTTCAGCTTTAGTATTTGATCAAACAACTTACAATAATCTGCAGTTCTGAAAACTGTCAGAGTAGTTTATACACGAGTTAAAATAAATTTAGTATACAGCTAAAGACGTATTTTATTGTTTCTTTAAATGTGCATTTAAATTGCTATATATACTTCACTTTGTAATATAGAATATTTTCCCAAAGCTGTCACCTTGTTTTTCTACATGGGACATAGTTAATTAGAATCATAATTTATAAACTAAACTGTATTACTTTAATCCTAGCCTATCTCTGATTTAGATTTATTCAGTTGAATTTGCTCTTCCTAAGTTCTGTGACAAAGAATGATTTCTTATTCGTAAATTAGCCAAAATTCTGTCTTCAGCTTCGTCACTGTAATTCTTATGACTGTATGTATTGTATGGTTTTGGCTCTCTTGGTAGTCGCATTTCATGGGAAGGACTTGCTCTAGTGATTTAATTGGAATTAAACCTGATTTGTTGGAGCAGTGGGTCCAAGGAAAATCTAGTTTTTACCTCTTAATACTTCTTTTCTCATTGTAACTACTATGGTAAAAGATTACAATTCTTTTAAATGTCATGGGACTGATCATAACTCACCAATGCAAGAATATATTATATTTGGTAATGAGAAACTCTTTGAGTTTATTAGCTATATTTACAATTGACAATCAAAGTAAAAATAAGAACTTTAGATTATCTTTGTTTTTCTCAGCATAAGACCAGCACTACAAATCTTTCAGGATAATACTCGTTTGTTTGTTTTTTTTACAATAATTTTCTTTTCCTTGCAATTTGAATTATTCTTAAAATTTGAACCAGTTCTCTCATCACTACTCCATACTTGGATGTTTTGTGTCTTGTGATTTCTTTTAAGTCACCTCAAAAAGACGATAGGGCCATTTGTTAGTAGGAAACTTTCTCCATCATGCTTCCAAAGAAATATCCTCCTCAGAGAAACATGGACCCCTGAGGGGTACAGACCTCCAAAGAGTTCAGCTCACTCTTCCCTCACTGCCTGAATCTAGGCAGAAGTTCAGTAGTTCTTTCATTTATAATTAGCTTAAAATACCCTTTCCATATAGGATACTATGATTCTGATTATTTTGGACAGAATGATGGTAAGTGTAAGGAGACAGGAATAAATAGGAAAGGTAAACTAACTTGTTTACCTAATAAGTAAGAAAATACAGTGCAATAATCAAGAAAGAGAATTACGAGGTCTCATTGTTGATCCCTGGAACCCATTTCCTGAGCAGACGTGGAGTCCACAGAGAGCTAGGGAAAGAGTTTCCGCTAGCCAGTATTGGATTCTGTTCACAGCCGCTCATAGTTTGGGTATTAATGGCTAAGGACAGCACACACATTTGTACGTTGTGGAAATGAAGTTGTTTCACGAGAAGGCCTTGACTGGCTGCCAGCTCTTTGTTGCAAAGCTGGCTGGAGGTATTTCACACCGCTGCCTGATTCTGCGGGAAAGGAGGGCTTGTGGGGTGCCTGGTCACTCTGTCACTGTGTACTGTGCACTGAGACAGAATGCCTCACATTAATTATAATACTATGTTCAAACACCTAGCGAAAACTGGAAAATTAATACATTGATAACCCTAAGAGATTTAACAGATAATGCACTTCAAATCCATTAACATGGGTGGTTATATTGTTAATATTCAGAAACCAATAGCTTACCAGGAAGGAACAAATAAAACAGTAATTTTTGAATAAGCAGTGCATGTGATAAAAGCCAGAGTGATAATCTAGCTGATGGGAGAAAGTAGTTCTACACTGAAAATAATAAAATATTTGTGAGCAAAATAAAGTAAGTCTTATATAAATAGATGTAACAGATTTATGGATTAGACTACTTAGCATTGGTAAATGTCAGTTCTCCCATTGTAAGCTGTAAATTTAAAGCAACCAGAATTTCTATTTATTCTTTTTAAATTTGACAGTCTGAGTCTAACATGGATACACCAAGGGGAACAAAATTAAGGCAATCTTGAAGAAATATAACTTAGGTATTATTAAAGCCATTTAAAATATAATTAAAACAGTGTATTCTTAGCACAAGAATAGGTGACCTACTCAAGGAAGAGAAAATTCAGAAATAGACTGACACAGATGTGGTTACCTTATTTTTGAAAAACATGAAACTCTAGAAAATGTGAAGTT